GGGGGGGGTGGGGCAGCCATGGGGGGGCTGGGAGAGTGGGCAGGGGTCAGGGGGTGCTTGGGGGAGCTGGGGGAGTAGGCAGGGGATGGGGTCTGGCAGGGGTCTCCCCATGGTCCCCTCTCCTCCACCCCCTCTCCCCTTCCCCACTTACCAGCACAGAGTCGAGGTCCAGCTCCGTGCAGCGGTGAGCAGGGACTGCCTGAATCTCTGAAGCTCTCCAAATCTTTTCTGAATCAATTCGGAGAGATTCAAATCGATTCAGACCGTTTAATTGGTCTCCTGATTCAATTCGGATTTGGAGATTTGGCCACCAAATTGGGCCGAATCTCCTCCAAATCGAATCGGCACCCGAAGTTTCACGCAGCCCTAATACCTATAGCCTAACATAGGCATAGCTACTCCTAGATCATCCCTGACCAATACTTGTCCAGCCTCTTCTTGAACACCTCCACAGTTTACCTAATGCTTCTATTGATGCAACCCAAAACCGCATTCACCTGCTGTGCAGCTACATCACATGGCAGACTCATATTGAGTCTGTGATCTACCAAGACTCCTAGATTCTTTTCCATAGTGCTGCCACAGGTCACCCACTTTGCATTTGTGTTTTGATTAAGGTATGGCAACTTGCATTTTTCAGAATTAAACTTCATCCTGTTAACTCCATCCCAGCTTTCCAATCTAGAAACAGCCTTCTGAATTGCACTTTACCCGCTAACATGTTTGCAAAGCTTCCCAGTCTCATGTCATCTGCAAATTTGCTCAAGAGGCTCTCAATTCCAGCATCCAAATCAGTGATAAACACGTTGAACAGCTTGGGGTCCAGAACAGACCCTTAATCCTGCCATTAGGACATGGATCCTTTTATAATTACCCTTTGCTTACAACTATTGAACTAGTTGTCTATCCACCTTGTAGTAGTTTTGTTTAGCCCACACTTCTACAACTTATTTATGAGAAGTTCATGCAAGTCTGTCAAACGCAATGATGAAGTCCTGTTATACTAGATCTACAGCATTCCCTTGATCCCCCAAAGCAGCTATTTTGTTAACAAAGGAGATCAAGTTTTTTTGGCATGAGTTATTCTTAGTAAATTCATGCTGGCTGCTTGTGATCAGCCTTTCCTCACCTGGATGCTTGTAAATAGATTAACTTGTAATATGCTCCAGTAACTTTCCAGGTATTGAGATAAGGCTAACCAGTCTGTAGTTCCCCAGGTCCTTTTTGCCTTTTTTTAAAGAGAAGCATTATGTTGGTCCTTTTTCAGTCCTCTGGTACCTTGCCCATCTCCTATAACTTCAGAAATATTATTGCCAAGGGCTTTGAGATCTCCCATGCCAGTTCCCTCCGTATCCTGGGATCAAGTTCATCAGCCCTGCTGATTTGTATTCATTCTAACCCATCAAAAGCTCTCTGACAAGATTCCTTATTATCTCATCCCTCAGTTGTTCCCCTGCCTTATCTAGATAATCTTGATTAGGTGTCTTGTTGCAGCTTAACTTTGAGGCAAAGTAGTTGTTAAGTAGTTCTGCCTTCATTGTGTCTTCTTCTGAGAGTTCACCCTGGCTATTTAACAGAAGACCCACAGATTTCCTGGTCTTTGTTTTCTGGCTAACATACTTATAGAACCCTCTTGCTGTCTTTAAGCTCCCTTGCCAGGTGCAGCTCACTTTTTATTTTTGCCTCCCTAATTTTGCCCCTGCAGGTTCTTGCTGCTTCCTGATATGCTTGCTTGGTGACCTGCCAATCTTTCCATTGCCTGTATGCTTTCCTTTTGCATTTGAACCATGCTAGAAGCAGCTCAGCTGCACTGGTCTCTTACCCTTCTTGTGCGCTTCCAATAGCTGTCAAACTGCTTTGCCAAAGTAGATAGTATCATTATCCACGCTTCACAGGTGGGGAAAATTGAGGCAAAAACCAGTGAAGTAACTTACCCAAAGTCCTTCAGCATGCCAATGCCAGAGGTTGGAAATGGAACCCATGCCTCCCAAATGCCAGTGCAGTGCTCTAGTGGCAGCACAGGTCCAAGTGGGGCTTGTAAATGAATGCCTCCTGGGAGTCAAAGTTGATTGGCTAAAAGTACAATAGTGGGATTTTCAGAAGTGTTCATCTCTTGTCTGCCTATGTTCTCCAGTAGTCAGCAGAAGCCAAACCATTGACTTCAGTGGGAACTGCAGCAGGCATTGCTGGTTCCTTTTGACTGACTTTACTCAAAAGGAATCAGAAATTTGGAAACAGTTCCCTAATTTGAAATGATAGGTACCTTTCTGTCCTGGCCCAATTTCAATCTGGATACTCCTGCTCTACGCATTTTAAATTCCCCCAGCGGTTTCACTGGGATATGATATTCTCCTTTGCTTCTTGTTCCCTGCTGTTCTCTGAAGTTTCTATATTTGGTCCTTCAAATGGCTACATTTCAGCAGTGTATACAATGAGTGTTGCATATGATGCCCACCCTGTGCATCAGTTTATTACATGTGTCAGCCCCTGTGGAAACTTTCCAGAAGGTTGTATGAAAAGCTGAAATAATTCATTTTTATGAGTGTGAGCATGCTCCCGTAGCATTATTAGAACAAGCTCTCTTTTCCTTTTACTTATATCTATTGCGTCTGAACTATCAGCTATCCGCAGCCGTGTCATAATTTTGTTTAGCTGTTAGGTTTCATATCGCCAGTATTATTCTGATGCTACCAGAAACTTGCTGTCAGTATCCTCCGTACTTGCATTGCCCCGTCTGAGTACTTCACTGTCCTGATTGTGTGCATCTCAGCATCCCTGTGAGGTTCTAGAAGGGCTCTCGTGGCTGTCTCTGCAGAGGAGGAACCGAGATGCAGAGACAATACATGACTTGCTGACATGGGACATCCCATGCTTGTTTTTCCAATGTCCTATACGCTAATACTCTAACCACAGGGCAAGCTGATATAACTGTTACAGTATTTGGTGAATTCTGACTAAAGAATGTTTTCCACACAGCATTAGCTCAAGCATCACTTCTCACTATTTTTTCTTTTAAGCTTTAGGTGCCATGTCAATGACATTATCAAATTAGTTCACAGTTGTCTTCGTGTGTCATCTTTTCCATCACGTTTTGAGCAACAGGGCACATTTGGATGCACTAGCCTCTACCTCTTCTTTAGGATACTACTTTGAAAATGTTCATGTGAAAAATATGTGAAATTCCAATAGCCCTTGTTCTAAAACTGAAAAATAATTGGAGGGGGAGATTTTCTTAGGCCCAAGGGGGCCATAGGGGGGCAGCTTCTAATGACATTCCGGTATTTAGCTACCTTTTATCCCTTTGAACACTTCCCCTGTAATTCTAAATCTAAACTGGGTATTTCTTATGCTTTAACCTAATTGGTCTTAACACTGTGCTTTCTTCTTTTTCATTGACAGGTTAACTCTAAAGAAAAGTTGTTCCTGACTGCCTTCCCTGTTGTGCAGACTGCTCCCCAAGAGCATTGCTGGAGAAAGCTGACTGCAAGCTTCAGGTCAAAGAAATTCCATGGGACTGTACCAGATCCTCTGAGGTCTGCCAAAGTTTCATTGATTTCAGCTTCTGAGGAGGAAGATCACCTGGGAGATTTGCAGTCCACCAAGCACCAGCACAAACAACCAAGTGTAGAGAGGAGCAGTAATGGCATTTCTCATACAATGTCTGAATCTGTTGGCGTGTGCTTGTTTGACCTGAAAGATATGACAGCTGCCAATGTTCAGAGGCAAGAACAATTCTGTGAGAATGTTGCCAGCCAGCAGGACATCCGTTTTTCTGGGTCCCTCAGCCAAAATCAAGAAGTATATCCTGTGTGCACAAAGACAGCTAGTACCTCTGAGCAAAAAGACAACAGCACCCCCATCAGGCACATGCAAATTGTAACAAAAGAATATACAGTGGGACATGTACCAGATACAATGCCAGCTACCCAGAATTCTAAGCTTATGCACAGTGACCAGCCAAAGACAAGTTCACTGACACAAGTTGATGATTCTGCAGTGAAAACCTGTGGGTCAGAGGATCAGTCAGACCAGTGGGTCAGAGGATCAGTTGGTGAATTAAATTCTTCTTCCCCAAGCAACACTATCAAGAATAGTCACTCCTGTCATCATAGCTCTCCAACAAATATCCTGCAAAGAGTACCCATGGAAAAGGAGAAGGGACTGGAAGTAATTGACTCTGGTTTCCCTCAGGAAACTGCTCTGGTAAAGGACTTTGCAACTGGTCTGAGCAAAGGGCCTCAGGCTTCTTTGGAGGCAGAAAAGAGGGCTGCAACGGATGTGAAATCATGTGCCACAGGTAATACTGCCCTAGACCAGAGTGATGAGACATCATCCCAATTCAGACTTGCGGCCATGGAGCCAGCGTGTAATGCAGACACTGAGAAAACAAGGGTACACAAGCAGCAGCTCTCCAGGTTCAGAGATATAGGTACAATGACAGTCCAACCTGAGAGCAGTTCTTTAGCTGAGGAAGCAAGTAAGAGGATGTGGCGAGATGCTGAGGTTCAGGCTGTGGCTAGTGTAGAGAGTAAATCAGCTTCCACCAGTCCCAGTATCCTTGCTGCATTCTTAATGGGAAATCTTCCTGCAGAGGAAAAGGAGAATTTGCACTTCATTTATCAGGGTTGTGGGGAGCTGACCCACTCAGAGGATGTTGAAAGCTTTTCATCACTGAAAATGTCCCCCTGTTGTCCTGGTGTCATGCCAGAACTGCATGTTCCACCAGCTGCAGTGGAGACAGTAAAAGCTCAGACTGTCAAACTTCAAAAGCACCCAGGAGACCCATCTGACACCATCTGTCCAGCATTACCAGATAACACAAAAGCCTATCCATGTGCACAAGCAGCCAGTAATACCCATAGAACACCTGTTGATAGGCCAGGACAACAAGGAGTCTGTCCAGTCAGAGACAGCTGTGATATTCCTCAGTTGCTCTCAGATGCTCCAGTATCACAGAAAGCAAAACCTGTTTACCAGATTGCAATTAACACCAATAATCAACCTGCAGTACATCAGCAGTCTAGAGATAGGGAGCCCATCCCATTTCCCTCTGCAATTGCTCCGAAAGTCAACAGAAACTTTCAGCACATTGTCAGTGATGCAGGAAATAAGCAGTCACCTATATCTTGTAGAACACACAGGGAAAGTGGGCAGGGAGAGACCTGGGGCACCAAGGCTGGCGGTTGTCCTGACAGAAAATCTTTGCAAGGTAAGAGTGGTGATGAATTGAAGACCAGCCCATTTAAAATGGATATGAAACCAAAAGAAGAAAAGTTAATGCTTCTTGATCCTAAAGGAGAGATGCACATCAGTGCTGCAGCTGCCTGTGGCCACATCAGAGTATATACACCAGTCACCGTTAAAAAAGAACAGGATAAAGTCCAGGGAGAAATTACTCGGGCAAAGAAAGTCAGTAGTCTGAGTCTGCAAATTGGACTGACATCTGACTTGAGTGGATATTCTGCTCACTGCACTTCTGGGCTGGGGGCACATGCAGCTCCACAGCAACAAATCAGCCCAGCAAATGACACCAGAAATGAACCCAAGCTAAATGCAACGCCTGACCTGGCCTCAGCTCAGCCTTTGCTAAAACTTGGAGAAAAGAAGAAACAGTCCACTCCATCCATGGAACCCAAAGTACGTGTGAAGCAATCTAAACACATCAGGGATGTTGTATGGGATGAACAAGGCATGACGTGGGAGGTTTATGGGGCATCCCTTGACCCAGAGTCACTGGGTATAGCGATCCAAAATCACTTACAAAGACAAATACGAGAACATGAGAAACTGATCCGGGCTCAGAACACTCAGAACCGGAAATCCATTTCCTCAGATACATCTTCAAATAAAAAACTGAAAGGAAGGCAGCATAACATGTTCCAGGCCATGCTGCAGAATTTCAGACACCCCAATTGCTGTGTCCATCCTGCTCCTTCTTCTGTACTAGATTGAAATGGTGTGCTTCGGGCCGTGTGAGTCCAAAGATGTGTACACCTCCCGGAAGTGGAAAATAAACCTTGCTGTTTGGTTCTGTTTGGGTTCATGATGCAGTGACTTGGAAATGACCATCTGTTGTTTTCCAGTTGGTTGCTACATCATACCTATATTATTTCCACAGCTGGTGTATTGCCCCCTCTTACTATTTTCATAGTGTACTCTCACCTAGTCTACTGTAAAGAGTTAGGCACTTAGCAAAAGCACAATTTTCAATTGCCAGCTTAGTGCAGTGAGAGTAGTGTCTCCTGATTAGAGGTGAAACTGAGAGATTAGCAAAAATGTATTTTTAAAAAGTGATTTTTGATGTATTGCAAAGTTTTACATGGTCTTGGAGGGGATTTTTTTGGAGGATGCGGATAGTGCTTAAACTGCTGGAAAACTGTCAACAGAGAGATTCTCTAACACCACCAGAAAGCAGATATTTTTAAAATCCAATTACCTGTCTTGTGTGAAGTGCACGAAAGGAATAAGAGGGTTTACCATTCTCTATTAATACCATTTACAAGTGGAATTTTCAAAGGAATCTAAAGGAGTTAGGTGCTTTGCTCCCATTGAAACATCACACAAGTTGGTTTCCTAGTTCTGTTAGGCTACCTTGACAATCCCAGCATCTTCTAATAGGTGATATTCCTGATGTTAAGTCATGAAGGTTAGTACTAGGGTATAAACAGACGTCTTCTGTGGAGTAGTATCAGCTGTGCCAGGATGTGTCCCAACACAACTGATCCACTACAGACATTGCAGAGCACTTGTGCCACAGGGTTGAGTCCCTGCCACTCCCGGTGCTTCAGGTACCTGATCCTGTGCAAAAATGGCCCTAGGGGCAATGCCCCAACTGAGAGCATACCGGTGTAAGCAAGGGAACCCTAAGTTTTTCCACTAGCACAGGTGTGCCCTAGGAATCCCCAGTCAGGGGATTCCCCAGGAACATTCATCTCATTGCCATGCTCTTGACTCCCGCCTCCCAGCACTATTTGTGGTTGTGCTCACAAATTTGGGCATTTGGGACATGACAATGGACTATAAACATCCATGCTTAGTTTTTTTGCCACCACAAAAATGTCTATAGTGGCACATAGGTCATATTTTTTGCAGCAGCAGTAACAGTTTTTTTGTTTTCAATAGAGAATAGTAATTTTCTTTCTACATAAAAAGGGGGGAAATCAACACACAGTTTTTAATATGCCAAAGTAAAAGAGCCATATTCAAGACATTCTGTATGTTTTACAATGCTGTTTAGAAAAAGAATGGGTTCAAAAAATAAGCTTCCAAAGCAGAAGTGTGATGGCCAAGTCAAATGCAGTGTGCGCTTTCAAATCATCACAGCTTCCAGAGAAACCTGCTACTCCCTATTCCATACTCTATGGCTAATTGCAGCAGAAAGTAAACCAACTTTTTTATGAAGGTACATCTTTGTTCCAAACTGGGGAGGGCTACCTTGTTTAGACTTTGAAAATGGGGGAAACTTACTTGATCACAAATTATCCTTTGGTCTTACAACTCAGAAGTTCAAAATGAGAAGAGCCAGAAGGATTAAGACCCTAGTCACAAACTTGCAGTTTCTTAAGTATTGCCCATGTCCCATAGGAGCAGTTCCATTGCAGGGCTTGCAGGATTAGAGCTTTAGCTGTGAAACTGCAGATACTAAGCAATGTAAGCCCATTAAATAGATGTTCTTGCAGTTATGTTTCACTCATGGAAACACTTTTGAAAAGTGAATCCCAGGTGCTTTTAAATAATACATTTCACATTTATGCATACAAATACTGAGAACGGATACATTTTATAAATTGTATGACCCTGCTTATCCCAGCAGGGTGTTGCATATAAACATAACTAAACAGAAGAAATTAAATCAACCAGCCATAGATTGCATTACACTTATGGCAGGTGAAACCATAGACATTTATACATTACTTTCAGTGACTGTGATGAGAGATTATATTTAAAATCTTTACCCAACAATAAACTTTACAACTGCCCACCTTTTCTAGAGATGACTCCAGCAAGGTCTATGGTGACCTACAGACAAAGAAGTTAAAATTAGTCTAAAATTCCCTATTCGGATTTATGTTACCTTGCCCTAGAGAGCCATCTGCTTCCTTCTCTTGATTTATTAGTGTTACACATTCAGAAAGCAGAGCCCTACTAGCCGAAGGAGCTCCAAGTACGTGACCTTGAATACATGCAGCAAACTTTTAGCATTCAACTTGGAGAATAAAGATATAATAGCTACTTCTTGAAGAAATTCAAATAATTGAGAGCGAAATACTGATCTGCTTTCAGATATTCCACAGGTACAGTGCCAGTCTACATCAGTAGACTCATCCAAGTCGCTGAATTCACTAGAGTTAAACCAGTTTTACCTGCTACGGTTCCGGCCCCACGTTCCTTTGTCAGGTATATCTAATTCAACAGATACATACCCAAAGTTACAGGACATGAAACACTATTGGAACTCAGTGGTAATGTCTCCTGTCATCTGCTGCTCTGGTTAGGGTACAGCAGGTGTTTCTATGAGCTTTTAACTGCACCCAGACCTGCAGTCCTGTTCAAGCAATATGCAATATGCCTGTTAGTTTTATGTATGCGTGATTTCTGCCACTGCTGTATGACTTCATGCTCTCCTATTGAAATCAATGGCAAAACCAGTACAGAATCAGGCCCTTAGGGTGCTGAATACCAAAACTCAAAGATAAGTTATTTTCTACAATAGCATTCCAAAAATAAAATACAATCCAATACAACATAAGGTGACAACTCTGCTATCACATGATAACGTAATGTATTTCATGGCATACGTGTATTTAGACTGTTTATGTAATGTAATGTAACATGACAATATAGGCTGCCATATATTTATTATATCACAATGTGTATTGAAATATGGTGGCCCAATAAACTAGAAATTCAGCTGAAGTAAATGGAATTATGTGGGTTTACCCCAGCTGAAGATCTGACCTTCTATATGTAAATATCACAGCGTGATAATCTTGTTAATTGTGTGAGTTCCTGATAACCACATCACTCTGGAAAAATTTGGTGCAGCAGAGTTTCATTCAATTGTATGTAAAAAATGTTTTTTCCCTCTTGATAATGGCTTTTATTGGGGAAACCCTGGCAACAAATTGTGATGATGGAATTCAGTTGGTTTTATGGTGATATGTTGGGTGTTCTTGCTGACTCTTAGTTTTCTTAGTATTTTTACATTACCCTAATGCACTGATGAGCAAAGGAGTTCCTTTCTTGGTCTAAGCTGTGGACTTTTGTCCTGCTTTTTTAAACCTGAAAATAACAGCCAAGTTAAAACCCTTCATTCTGGTGCATTAAAACTATAGAGCAGAGCAATTACCTTGTGTTATTATTATTGTTTTTATATTATACTGTTTTGTAGAAACCATGTCCTAACTTTGATTTTGGAATTTATTGCCCTAAACACCCAGTGCAAAACTCCATTAGGCCAATAAAAAGATCCCTGTTGACTTCAGTTGACTTTGGATCTGGCCCTGAATGGTGGGAATAATGCAGACAGTATTATACCATCTTGTGAGAGAGTACCTTTTGTGTTATGTGCTTTAGGTGATATCTCCTACAAATAAGACATTTCTAACTCTGGAAAGGGGATGTTATTGGTTTCCAAGTGTAGATTTCATTATTTAGCATGTGCTTCTGTGAGTGTTCTTAGCAATTTCCAGAATCCTTGATTTCTACCCCACTTTTAATTTACAAACTGGAGTAACACAGGAAGGCTCAGTACTTCTAACAAACCTCTAATGACACAAACCTCAAGACAGCCTTTTACTGAAATGTAGTTTGTTTCAGTTATGTGTGCTTATAATTTGTGAACCATACACAGAGGCAATACAGGTTGCATCTACATGTGATATTTACTGCGGAGTAGACTAATTAGCTCTTTAGTAAACGTCTTGGCATCTATACATGCAGAGCTATTAGGCTAGAGTAAACTAACAAGCTCTGCAGCTGCAGACTTTTTTTACTCCTCAGCAGCTCGTGTAGATGCTGACTTACGTGGCTGAAGGGTGCTTCAGTGTGGGGGCTGCCTGCCAGCTAGCCCCACAATGGAGCACACTCGTCCCCCAGCCAACCCCTCCACAGCACATTGAGCTAGGTTGGAGTAGCCCCAAGCTGGCAGGCTGAACGTGCTGTGGTCTGAAGCGCATGTATAAACACAGTGCCTTGGAGTGATAAACTCCGGCACAAAAGCACCAGAGTTTATTGCATCACATTAATATGCATGTGTAGACGTGCCCACAGACTATATTATGTGAAAAGTGAAAGAGCATTTAGCTAGAGTTACTCCCACCCGATGACTGTGCGCTATTACTTGCATTAGAATATTTGAGCCACAGTTTTCAAAAGTGGTAGCTGGTGGTCTTGGGTGATCAACCTGAATCAGTAGAAAGGAGACAACATTTTCAAAGATTCAGAGCCACCTGCCTTTTGTAACTTACCACTGAAAATCTTAGACTCTGTCTTTCTTTAATGATGCACCCCAGAGTTTTGAGGTAGAAAGAGGCCATGCAGTAAATCTGGTACATTTGGCTCTCTCTCGTGTTTCTACAGTGTTCAGATTTCTTCTTTTGAGTTCTTGTCTAAATCTGTTTTTGGAGTATGTTCACAGTAGAAACTTCTATTGCTGCCTTTTATAAAGTCCATTCCATGTGATTTGTCTGTGCATATTTTACATTACACTGTTTATATTGTAATATGGTATATTTTTAATTTGAAATAATTATTTTGCAGATGTACAGAGGTCCTTGAGACAGTCTTTACTATATTGTTAATATTAGAAAAGTGATAAATAGTATTGGGTAATAAATTGTAGCACTATGACTATTTCTTCAAAAGTGTAATATACAGTGATGCCTCAAATGTATTTTTCCCACATCTGCAGGATTTACAGTATTCTCTAGGCCTGAAATTTATTTCCCATTAACTTTCTACTTCTGATACAGTTTATGAGATATGGGGAAATGGCTGTAGTTTTCAACTCTGCAAAGCTTTGTGGATTTGGATTTTGTAATCCCTTAGAAGATGACTATTAAATAGGAATTATTTTTATTCTACTAAAGATTGTTCATGAATCATAATGATAATTTACTTCCATCTGTAATGTCACATGCCTTTATGCTGTGCATCATGTTATAACCTTACACAGTGGAAACATATTGCAATTTTTTTCTCTGAAACAGCCCTGAGGTAGTACCTTTTTAGGAATAAAATTTATGGTTACATCAGCTTTCAGGCCTTCCAAACTGCTGTTTTGGGACAGAGTTTATCTCCAAAGGTGAATGAAGATCCCATAAAGCTTATGTACATTACAATATTCAAATCCTAATTTAATGAAAATTATTACTACTAAGTTTAGTACTGAATTGATTGTTAACTTTCCTTTTACCACGCTCATCCAAATCTGCTGCTGAATTTACGCTGCTACATAAGGGAATTCTTCCCATCTACACCTGCTAGAGAGAGAACTCCTTTATTTCCATCCCCTCTTAGTATTGTCTAAAATCTGAATTTCATGAGGACAGGAATGGAAGTAAATGTTGGCACCATTGCTGGTTAGGTTAGTCAACTAATTTGGCATCCCTTTTCATCTTCCTGACTGAGTTGGCACTGAAGAGGTGCCCAGTGTTTCCTGTTGTGTTTACTGTCTCCTGTTTAGGTCTAAGCCTTTGCGCTATTTATTCCTGTGCCTTTGGCTCAGTTCTACCCAAGTGTTCACTAGCTGTTGTCCTGCTTGTCCCCCTGTGAAATGATGTCAATTGAGGAACCTTCTGTCCGTTCCTCCACAATCTCTTTCAGTATAAAATTCTGTGATTTGAGTTATTCTGAATTGTCCCTGTATAAATGCATTGATATGAGACTATATATAAATTGTTCAAATTATCCTGGAGAAGAATAAACAGGTACAGAATATTCACAGATCTCCATGGCCTTTTCCTTTAGTCAGGCTGTGCAAAAAAAAAAAAAAGGAAAAAACCCCTTTAGACGTCTGAATATTAATTTAGACCAAAATGTCTTGGTGCTTGATGGAAAGGATAAACACATAGAGGTGACCTGATCAATGGAATTATTCTGCTTCATAAAGAATTAGCAAGATCTTTCCTAGTGCCTTACAGCTGCTTTTGTCTCTGTACACTTACCAGCTTTGGCACCCCTCATCACAACTGAATTACCTCTCTTTAAGTAAAATACCACCAATACACATGCAAACTGAAACTTAAAAGTTGGACTACCAAGGAGCTGCATCCAGATATCCCCTCAGGCATCTTTGGAAAGACTGTGGAAGTCAACAAAGCATCATGTCAATCAATACATTCTATAAAAATACTGTTTCAAGATAAACTCTTCAATGGCTATAACATTATATATGGAAATACGTGCTCACCATAGGAATTCAAAACCAAGCAATAATATGCCAAAAAAGAGTCCATAAGCACCAGCACATATCCTATAAGTATTCTATATTTGGACTTTGCTCCACTAGGACAGAATGTAAGCAACTTGGTAAACTTAATGCTGGATTAAGCTTTCTCTTGTGTATAGGTAGACAACTTTGTTATATGTCATTTGCTGAGGAAGGTGAACTGTTCACCATTACTACAAAGGACCCGTGTGGTTGGGGTATTTATAGAGGTGTTTGATACATGCAGAGGCCCTCCCACGAGCAGGATAACTTGTTCTCAGTGTGAGCCATATTGGTGTCAAAACCAAAAGTATAATCATCATGATGGGATAAATGAGTTTGCTTAGTACCCAAGGATATTCATCTTTCCCTGCGACCCAACATCACACTGCAGTAGTTAAATTGTTAAAAATGCAAAGGCAAACTATACAGAATGCTGAAAGGAAGGTCTAAGAAAAAGGTTAAGTTAGGAAAGATAACTTTTGCTCAAAGGTAAAAATATCTGAAAAATGAAAGAGACTCAGACTGCAATTTGAAACTGAAGGTAGAGAAACTAACTGAAGGAACCCTAGAATTTATAATTGTTTTAGGAAATCAAAAAAATATATAAATCGGTCAGAAATCTAGGAATAATTCCACATTGGTATATCTGTTAGGATGCTTTAAATGGCTACCGTTGATTTGGGAACCCTTAACAAAAAGAGTTAATTGAAATAAAGATTGCTTCCATCTTGACTTCAGCCATCTTTTATTGGAAACAATGCCAGTCCTTTCTATTTTTCCAGATTGGGAATCAGGGAGTGTTTTATGACCCATGAAACGTGAGTCCAAGGGAAGCCATTGAGGGAGGCACTTTGTAGGACAGTCTCTAATTGTGTGTGAGGCTCTCAAGTCCGCCATTGTCTGAGAGCATTTTGTCAGTGCTACTTAGTCTGTGTTGGTTTGAGCAGAGCTAGCAAATAGAAGTTCTTCCCCTTTCTGTTGCTGGGGAAAGACCAACCTGCCAAGACATTCTGACCACCAAACTGGGAGTGGAAATGCAGAGACGAATATTAGTCTCACTGTTGTTGAGGAAGAAGAATGATCAACCAGTCACCAAATCATAGAACAAAGAAGAATGGATGCAAAAAATAGGAAGAAGAAGCAAGAAGAAACCAAGGTGTTTTGGAACACAGGTTCTGTAAGGATCTTTAGGTCATACAAAAGGTATGTGTGGCATGCAAGTAAATATGGTAGTTGTTTCTAGAGTGCTGTGAAAAATACCTTCTTGTTTGCAGTTTTGGGGATGGGAATGTCTATACATGTCTGCTCATGGCCTATGAAATCATGATTGAATGGTAGTGGACTTCTTCCCTGTACAGAAATAAATCTGCCACTTTGCTTCTGGGTGAAATATTACAGCACCCTATTTTTTTCTCTTTTAACAAGAGAGGGGTCTTTATTTCCTATTACATTTGTCCCATCATAATTGTGTATAAAATAGTGAGTACCTTCAATACACTGTACCTAAGGCTTCACTTCCTTGCACCTTATGCAGCCATTTATGCCAGTGGTGCTCAGCTTATCTGGTCCATGGGCCAGATTGGTCTGTGAGCTGTATACTATCCAGCATGAGGTTAGTACACGTGGTTGGTCCACAGATTCGATCCAGTGTGCCGGCTTGGCCATGTGCACTGGCCCAGTGTCCTATGCTGGATCTGGTCGTGGACCAACCCAGTACACTGGATCACTGTGGCACACAGGGCCGTGTCATTCTGTCTACAGAGCTCCTCATTGGTCTGGATATTTGGCAGCAGGGGAGCAGCAACAGTGAATTGCCATGGCTCTGGGAGCCACAGCAGTTAACACTGCCACCACTTTCCCACCACTGGAGGACACAGGCACAAGTACAGGCATCTTACACCCTCTTTCCAGTGAATAAACGGCTGCATGGTGTTCAAGGGCATAGACTCTAGAAATAGTAATAGAATATACTACCTGATAGTTCAAGTCATGATTAGAAAGTCAGTACATTCTAAGAAAGTATTTTTTTTTTTTGCATCTGTCCTTCCACAACTGTGATTTTTCTATGTGTGTGTAACATTTGTATGTGTATGTATATACAACAGCTAAGGCTTTCAATAACAGATATGTGAAATTAGATTTCCAAGTCCATCCTTAACCATCTATTCTCATTTCCAGATGTTGAGTACCATCAAATCCCGCTGAAGATAGGAACTGCAGTGTTAAGTAATTTTGAAAATCAGGCCATTTTTATTAAAATGTGTAAATATGGATTTAAAATTCTAAGTTAATTTAACCACATTGGCCAATGGAGGTATTTAAAAAAAAAAAAAAAAGACAAAAGATTATAGCTAGGTCTACAGTGGTTAAATACCCATAATTAAATTACACATTGTAACTTATTTTAAATGGGCAATGATTTGTTTTCCCCTTTGTTCTTTTCTGGCCAGCTCTGCTTTCTCAATATTTATATAGGCTTAAGTCAGATCCAGGCAAAGAATTCTGTCTTTTGGAGAGGGGGAGTTCTATCCTTCATCGTTCAAGCTGATTA